AATGTTTATAGTGTGCTTGATTTTCTTTGGTCTTTTCCTCTTATTGCATGAAGTCAACAGGAGAAACAGATTACAAGTGAGAACATTTGTCTGCTTATGACCCTTTTTCAGCAAGTTAAAAGAAAGTTAGATCAGACACATATTATTATAGTGTAAAATATCTACAGGGACACATTTTTAAAAGTAAGTGCATTAGAGAATGTAGCTATGGACAACGGTGACATATTTTTGATTTACAGTGTTTGATATACAGATTATAGAATTCCTGTTTCGACCTGATATCTGTCTGCAGATATAGTTTAGAGGTTCTCTGCCTGCAATAATGTGATTCCGTTTTGGGCATAAAATCGATAAAATCATTAAGTTCCTTTCTGTCCCTTTCGAACGGCTTTGATTTTGAAATGACGTTTTCTTGTTCGGCGCTTTGTGCTGTTTTCGAAGGTTTGTTCAGACTATTGGCTTTCCAGAACCAAACACTAGTTTTTCCGATGCACAGTGTATTTAGAAACAACGTCTTACACACCCTAATCATTTCCTCGCTGCTCTTAAGTTGATATATCAACGTGCTCGTCCTTTTAGACTTCTCAGGATCTTTTCTATCTCTCGGTCGCTTTGTAGGAATAACCTTTATAAGTCCGTCTATATACACTTTTTTTCTTGCCATGTCATAGACCAAAACTTATCAAAAATTTGTTTCCTCGCATCTTCCGATACAAGATGGCAGTTTAATACACTGTTTACCTTTCTGATGCATTTACAACGAGGTTTAAGTTTCTTGGCTGGTTTTCTTATATTCTCTTTCCAAGTGGTACCAAGTTTTTTTTCCATAGTATGCTAGTCCCTGTTCCCTTTGTTGCATATTTTTGTTACTTTGCCATTCTTGTGTATTTACTTCACAGCGCTTTTTTCTTTTGACTTTCAATTTTTCTGTTTCTAATTCAGATTCAGAATCACTGTAAGGAACTAGACTTTTTAAGTCATTTTTTTTGTTTTAAAATTTTATTGTGTACAGTGGGTGTTAGAGATTTTTCGGGTATGGGTATTTCTCCATCGTTACTATTTATGTCAAAATCGTGGGTACTGTTTTCAGGTAGTAATAATTTTATCTGCCTATCAGAGCTAAAGTTTGTTGGAATCTCATTATATTTAGATTCATCAGTTGGTTGCTTACATGATATTAGGGAAGTAAATTCATCTGTGCTATATTCAGAAGTTAACAAATTCACGTCTTCAATATCAACAGTACGGTCAATAATAAACTCTGGAAAATCAAAAGACAAAACTGGACTATTCGTGAATTCAAGATCTTCTATAGAATTATGATCATGTGAAGAATTTTGACCATTTTCGTTTGTCAATACATTGTCCTGTTCATTTGCATTAACTGCAAGTTGGAGGATTCTTTGTGCACGTGACATTATTCTGTAAGTAATAAGTAAGAATTAAAAATAATAGAAAAAGGCACACAATTTTGAATCCTATTCACATTGGTGTGTTTACATTTAAAATTACAAAATTTAAAAGTATAAAATACGATAAGTGGGTACTATAAATTATCTGAGTTTTACTACTTATTATATTTTATTAAATTTTCAAGTTAAATCATCATATTATTAGATAAAATTTATAGTTTTTTATTTAAAGTGATGCCAACAACAACCTCAAAAGATAATTAGGATTTGTGGCTAACTCCACAATATATCAAATATATGACTTAGAAAAACGGATATCTCCACATACTAATTAAAGCAGTAAACTAGTCACTAAACGTATCTTTTTAATACAATATTGTTAGTACTTACCATGTAAAAGCAATCCTTTCGCATAAACCAACAATATTTCAGCTAGAACACAAGTTTGAGACTAATAAACGAGACGAACAAACTACCACTGTTAACGGCAAGGTTGTGCTGCCATTGTTATTACGGAGTTAGCCGATCAAAATCGACAACGCTGGAGTTGTTCGATTTTCCTACAGGCTGTTGTAAGGGTAGGTACAAAGAATCAGTTTCAATGAAAAAGTCGATTTGACCAAAAAGTGGAGTTGGCCGATTTGCGAATTAAGGTATCGATATACTGTTCGATATTCCAATATTAAGAATTCTTTTAATTAATAATTTTATGCCGAATTTGAATCTTTTTTGACAATTACTTTAATAATTATAAAGTTTTGGCGATTATTCTGTAAATCGTCAACTTTTTTTATTTTCATTTTATTAAACGTTTACTTTTGTCGATAATTCTGCTAACCAGACACTGTCTTAGAAAAATACTTTTCCAGTATTTTGATTTATTATTTTGATATTTATATTTTGATTTATCATGATATTTATATTTGATTAATTATTTAGTTAATTAATCCATAATCTTATATTTTTATTTCTATTTCGTTTATTGATTTATTAACTACCATGAATGATAACGGCAACATTTCTCGTTCCGCGTCTCGTAATGAGAACCAGCCTGAAATGGAACCTTTTGAATGGGGCCAGGTAACAGGAATTTTTTTTTTAAATATTCATATTACTATAAATGATTCAGGAATCAATGCAACTGTTTACGGGCAATATGAAGACTCCATATTTTTTTTTATAAAATAATGATAACAGATGAAATTATTCAATTATTTGTTCGGGAAACCAATATCTATGCACATCAACAAAAAGTTAAAAATACCTCTAAACACTCTCGAGTTCAAACTGGAAAGACACCACAGAGAATGAAATGGAAGCATTTCTAGGATGCCTTATGTGGATGTGATTGGAACAAAGAACAAGCTAATATGGACGACAGGCTACATAAAATCGGTTCCTTACTATCAAAGTTACAGGAAACTTTTCAAGCTTCCATAGTACCTGGTGAAAATATTGTTATAGATGAGACACTTGTTCCTTTCAAAGAAAGCTAAAGTTTAAGCAATATATTTCGAATAAACGGTTTAAATTTGGAATTAAACTTTTTGAACTGTGTTTGGAGGGGGGTTATTTATATGACCTAAAGGTATACTGTGGAAGAGAAAAAGAGGTTTCACAATAGCATTCTCTTCCATCTCAGGTTGTTCTGAACTTAACCAGAGACTTGCTAAACAGCGGAAGAACCATTCTAGTGGACAATTATTACACATCAGTAGAATTGGCACATAAATTGCTATCCATATAATTGAAACTCTTCGTAGGAACAGAAAATTAAACCCAAAAACTGTTTTGCAAGCCAAATTAAAACGTGGAGAAGTTAGTGCAGAAGAAAGCAATACTGGCATTTTTGTAGAAAAATGGAAGGACCTTATGCTAAACACAAAATTTTTACCGGAAATGGTGGTGGTCAACAGTCGCCCAGATGAATTATTGAAGCCCAAAAGTGTGCTGGAATACAACAAACATAAGCCCTATATTGATTTATCAGGTACCTTTATTATTTAAAAACATTTTTTTTGTTACTGTAAAATTGTTTTTAGATAAGATGAAATCATATAATACATCTCTACGTAGAAGAGTTAAATGGTATAGTTGGCAATCGAGCTTGTTATTGGAGCTGCTATTGTGAATTCCTATTTATTAGGTACATCAAAAAATAACCAATAACAAAATGACCATCACAGAATTTCGTGAGGAAGTCATAAAGGGTAAAATGTGTATTTAAAAAATAATGATATTATTATAAGTATATATGTATGTTTTAGGACTTACAAAACTTGATACTTGTCCGACTGTCGAGGATTCGAGCCAAACAGATCCACACGAGCTTATAGAAACCGAAAAAAAAAAACGATCATGTTCCGTGTGCTACGCAGAACTTTCAATAAAATCGGGAAGAACAGTTGCCAAAAAACAAAACCCCAAAAACAAAACTGTATTGCAATAAGTGTTCGAAATGTTATTGTTTACCTTGTTTTTTTAAAAAACATGCATCTACCTCAAAATAAAAATTTCTGAAATGCTAAAATATTGAATTTTTTTGATTGTAGAAAAACCTTCTTCAAACCTATCGTAAACTTCTCTGACGCCCAAACCAAATGGTCCATATTGTCCAATACTTGCTCTCACCGCTTACATATATTTGCAACAATATATTAACAATATAATTAACAATATATGCAAATGGGGGACAACGTTTGTCCCCCATGGCACTTTACGTGTTAACTAACAGCGGTTTTATGTAATTCTTAAATATTATTATTTTTTATTTATTTGGATCATCTGTTTATTTGAATCAGTATAGATTCAACAGAATTCAGTAAACAGTATGAAGCTTTGCACTGTATCACTATTTTTTTACTCTTCACTTTTTGCCAGGGCCTGCTGTTGACTTTTTAGCGAGGCTCCTCATCCCTCTCGACGACCTGCTCGTGTATTGGTACCAAGTAAATTAATGTCTCTTTATGTGCAAAGAAACCATTTAAAATTTTTAAGTATTATTGTTGGCACATATTAATAAGTCTTTCGCCATTAGTTTCTTCGCCACACATGCCGACCAATTAATTATAATCGTGTTTTCCTACTTGAGCGTTAATATCTCCTCCACATATTAATTCGAGAGCATTCAGGATTTTGTTTAAAACTTTTCTGAGGTCTTGTTCAAAAGATTCTTTTTTATGTACAAGATAATTATCGCTTATAGAGTATAAACTTTGAATCGTTATATTCCTCTTAATACAATCGTCATTTTGATAAAACGCTTATTGCTTGCTTTTTATTCTGTGATTATACCTAATAGATGGAATAACAAGGATAAACGGACTATATAACACAAAATAAGAAACAAATGACGTACGATCTTTCAGTTGTTTTATAATAGATTCTGACCATTTTAAAATTTACTTCACACAAAATTCCTGTTACAAATCATTAAATAATTTTATATTATTTTTAGATATTGTTTCAGTTAAGGTAAATCCGGAACCAATAAAACAATCTGCTTTTATACTGTACTTTTGAAACCTCTGAACTCTGAACACAGACGGTAAAAAATCTGAACATATACCTCTAATTGACATATTTGACAAATGACATATGCTTTAAAACGTGACGAAAGAATAACAAACACGCTCTTTCTCGTGCAAGTAACCCAAGTGGCATCTTGTCTCGTAAGTTTATAAAATAATTCAGTTTATATTTTTGCCATCCATTAGTAAAATTTGAAAATTTTTAAACAGACAAATAATAAAAATATGTATTTTAATATTAACGTGGATATTATGTCGAGAAAAATTATAATTAGAAATTTAAACATTTTTAGTATTAACCTACATGTTTCTAAACCTAAGTTTTTAGTATTAGTCAAGTATATAAATTTAGATAGGATTTAAGGATAGTCTTTTTGGTAAATAACCTGTTATATAAAGTTGTCTGATTTTATATTCAATTTAATCTTTTTTTAGGTTTATCGTAACTCAAATTAAACGTAAAGATGTCGGGAGGAATCGAGGCTTTAAGCCTTAAAGAGGACGATGTTACCAAGATGTTGGCGGCTTCCACCCATCTTGGAACAGCAAATGTTGATTTTCAAATGGAACAGTATATATACAAACGTCGTCATGACGGTACTCACATTATCAATTTAAGAAAAACGTGGGAAAAAATTCTGTTGGCTGCCCGTGCCATTGTTGCTATTGAACACCCTGGCGAAGTTTTTGTAATTTCATCTCGTCCCTATGGCCAACGTGCTGTTCTTAAGTTTGCTGCCCACACTGGAGCTACCCCTATCGCTGGAAGATTTACTCCTGGTACGTATATTGATATAATTTCATTCTATTTAGAAATAGCCTATTGTCCATAATGATGATAACACTAAGGAACCTATGAAATAATGATTTCAATTGATCGTAACTGATGTCACACTTATAGTAATTTGTTTTATTAATGTATTAACATATTGAGGATAACAGTTTTATATTTTAGGTGCCTTCACTAATCAGATCCAAGCTGCATTCAGGGAACCTCGCTTGTTGATTGTTACTGATCCTGCTTTTGATCACCAACCAATTACAGAAGCCTCCTATGTAAACATTCCAGTTATTGCTTTGTGCAATACTGATTCTCCATTACGTTTTGTTGATATTGCCATTCCCGGAAACAACAAAGCTTCTCACAGTATTGGTTTACTTTGGTGGCTTTTGGCTAGAGAGGTATATTTTTTCCCATTCATAGTTTAATGTTTAAAAATTAACAAGTAGATGGATTTAGGTACATCATCTAGAGAACATTGCAATGAAGGTAGTTACAAAGAACATCCATAAAAGGAAATATTTGCATTTGTTGGTGTTGCCATGTCCTTGTTTCTGTATAGGTTATGCCTGAAATATACACAGAAAGTTTTGCAATTTTTAATTTATATAAAACACAAATGAACAAATATTTGTTTTTTCCAATATTAATTGCAGCTAATTATTATAAGTTTTTTTGGCAATTGTCCTTTGATAGATTTGACAATCCTCAAACTGCCACATTGCAATAGATGTCTTTTTAACTTTATTATTTATACTGAAATTTTACTATTCACTGTTTTAAAACTATTTACTTTTTCTTTTGATAATTCTAAACTATTAATTTTTATATATCTTATTGCCATTGATTGCATATTATATTGTATTTTTAATGTAAATTTCAAAACTGCCAAGCACCAATATCTTGTCCTGTTATGCATCATTTGTAGGTATCTTCACTGCTACATTTTCTAGATTTTGTTTGAATTTTGTGTTTTGTACCTTTACTAGATCTTGGATCCTGATAATGGTTTATGTAAAAATTTTATTAAAAAAAAATATGTATTAGAATGATGAACTTTTTCCCATTGATTATCCATGATTCTCAATAATTTTTCCACCTGAATATAACTCAACAAATCTTTTCCAGAATATAGTAAATATCAAATATTTTCATACTGTTACACTTTCTTTAGGTTCTCCGCCTTAGAGGTATCATTCCACGTGACACCAAATGGGATGTTGTAGTAGATCTTTTCTTCTACCGTGAACCAGAAGAAGCTGAAAAAGAAGAACAAGCTGCCAAAGAAGCTGTGGCTGCTGTTGTCAAACCTGTAGAAATCCCAGCTCCTCTTGAAGGCCAAGACTTGGACTGGAATACTACTGAAACTACTGACTGGAATGCTGAAGTTGCACCAGGTAATTATATATTTTAAATAGCTTTTGTATTTTATAATGATACATAATTCTTTGTTTCAGTTGCTCCTGTTGCTGCACCTGCATTTAATGTTGGTGCTACTCAAGATTGGGCTTCTGAAGTTGCTCAAGAGGAATGGTCTACAAATCAACCAGCTGCTCCTGCTGCTCCAAATTGGGGAGGTGCCAATGAATGGCGTTAAAAATACTGTTTTGGACCAATAAATAAAAAAAATTATTCAATATTTTAGTGTTTTAAAAGATATGCCATTCCCCCATCCAAATTCCTCACTCAAGATGGATGTATATTCTTATTGGATAGAATGATCTAAATATGTGCATTCTTGCCATTTAAGAAATGAGGAATGTTGTTCAAGTCCTCAAAACTATTTCAATTTTCAATGCAACCTCATTTTCATGGTAGAGATTATATCATAAACAGTTGTGCTGTTTGAATTCTTTTTATCTACATGTCCCACCCACTAGATAGTGTCACTTAGGGCAGTACATTTTTTACACCAGACTTTATATAAATGGTTAAAAGAACAAAATTGCATGGTCACATTCATTAGTTTCAAGATATTCCTCCTCTTATAAGATTTCTTTCAAAAATATTTTTGAAATTGAATAAAGTAATTTTATTACCTATTAAATTATAATTCCATGAAATTATGTTTGTTCCTAACACCACCTATTGGCATATTAACAAAGCATAGGTTGTTTATCTCTGACAGAGCTGTCAAACTCAAATGAAATATTAAATTATAATAAATAAATATTTGATAGTAAATTTAATTATATAAACTAAATAATATATTCCGCTTAGGACATAATACAGTACAAGATATACAATATGAAACATGTAAAGTCATATGCAACAGTTTAATAGCTGCAACAGTACCAGAACCTACTGAAGATATGTAGAGTACCATTGCTGAATGTTTTAATACAACTGCCCAACTGTGTCAGTGCTTTCTTTGGATGGCAAACACATTACTATTCAAGCACCTCCAAACATAGGATCACTTTATTGTAACTACAAGAAATCATTTTCAATTGTTTTTTTTTTACTCTTGTAGACGCCAATTACAAAGTTTTGGTTGTTAACTTCGGAGAATATGGCAAGAACAGCGATGACGGAATTTTCGCAAATTCTTCATTAGGCAAAAGACTTCGACAAGGAACACAACAACTAACACAAAATACTGAATACCCGAGTTAAAGCCTTATACGTAATAGTAGGAGACGAATCATTCCCTTTAAAAACATTTATTGTGACCTTATCCACGTCAGGATTTAAATGTAGCATAACTTGTTTCCAACTACCGTTATTGTCCTGTCAGAAGAGTTTAAAGAATTTTATCTTAAAAATTTCGAATTTATAACAGGAGAATTCAAGCAGCACCAAAACATGCAGATAACATAGTACTGGTGACATGTATTCTAGATAATTTTAATAAAAAAATATGATAAATGCAAAAAAATCGATTTACCAAGAATCTGTACGCTGTAGAAAAAATGTAGCTGAGATAATTTTAAACAAAAATGTTTATAATCACTTTTTGTGCAGAATGAACCGTTCTCTTTAGAAACAACGCTTGAAGCGACCGTCGATTTTGAACGTCAGCTACGCGCGCGAAATCGAAATCAATGTTCAATTAATTTTTATCAGCTCGACGGTAAAAATTCGGTATCTATTGATCAACAAAAATCAAGATGCGTTTTAAAGGTAAAGAGTGCAGCTTTCATATGCAGTGTTTGTATTTTGCCGAGAAAAAACTCCTTTTTATAAAGGTGTTCAATAAATAAATGTTTCCATTTTTAGAGATCAATCTTTAAAACCTATGACACGAAATTTCAATTTTGAGTTGTGGCAACAAATAAGAGGCATTTGAAATGTGAATAAGAAATGTAGAATTTAATGTTTTTCACTTACAAACGATCGCACGTCACTGGATATGCATCCAAGAAGACGGTTTTGGATGTTTATAGTAGAAGTTTGGTTCTTTTGAAAAACGTACTAGAGTAATTAAAAAAGTTTGAAATGTTTTAGATCGTTTATGTAAAAGTTTAAATCTAGACGATCGCTTCAGTCGTTGTTTCTAAGAGAACGTTTTTATTCTACACAAAAAGTGCTAATAAACATTTTTATTTAAAATTATCCCAGCTACCTTCTTTATTTGAAACATTTTTTTCTACGGCGCGGCTTACAGATTCTTCGTAAATCGATTTTTTGCGTTTTTATCCCCCTTCACAGCGGGTTTTAAGGAGAAGCCCGGGATAAAAGTGGTTAACTTTTTTGCATCTTTTTAGAGACCCTAAAAATTAATATTCTTGACAAAATTCAGCTTGTTGGTATGATTTTTAGTGGTTCAGTGGCATTTTCGTTTCTGACGACTGGAGTACTAGAAAATAAGTTAGTTTTAATTTTTCCTCTGTTTATATTTAAGTAACTGAGTACTTAGGGAAAGTTGAGAGTAAATAAAAAAGTAGATAATATGCAATACCATATTCACCTCCTCCTGTGCCGGTCAAAGAAATTAACATAATCATTTAGGTTAAGGTTATCTATATAACATAACATGTATATAACCTATTAGTGATGTGCAAAAGTGCTACTTTCAAATAACAGTTATAACTGCTACTGCTATTTGAAAATAACAGCGATGAAAAAGCTGCTTAAAAGTAGCAGTTTAAGAATAAATGGAAGGGATGAAAGTGATGCTTAAATTGTTACGTTGAACGAAAGCGCTACAATTTCTAAAGGCTGATTTATAAACTTTACGTTGGCGTTGGCGCTGGCGCTGACGTTCGCGTTACAACATGGTCAAATGGAAAACTCGTGTGTCTATTTATAAACATCGTTCGCCGTTGGCGTCGGCGTTCGGTTCCGTTCAAGATGAACCAACTTTATCTTTTGCCGTTGGCTGTTGTAGCACAGAATACACAAACCCTTCTGTGGTTGTAGTCACGATCTCAGAACATAAATTAAAACTGTATCTTTGTCATCGCACGCAGCCAATAGCAATATCGAAAAAGTGACAAGGTTTGTCAAACAAATCAAACAAAATTATTTGTGTATGTTTCCACGTGTTTATAAAGTGAAAAAGTTTAGATAACAACAAGCCTCTCTTTAACAGAAATTCCATCAGAGCGATAGTTTACATTTATTTTTGGTTTTACCATTTGTAGTAATTTTTCAAATGCTGGAAACTGTATCCTGGTGTATTTAAAAAACTGCTGGGTATCCCAGTTTTTCATATTTTTATAATATTTAAAATTACCTCTTGTCTTTCTGTTCTGGTTAATGGGCCTCTGGGTTTGTATCGACGTTGTCTTTTATTTCGAAGGCTCAGTGCTGCTCGAATACAAAGTATCAGTGTCACTGCACCCAACAAAGGCCGAGCAAATCAAAAATTGTAAGGCAAGAAATTAAGATGTGATCTTTAACGCCAACGCCAACCGAAAGTTTATAAATGCAGTGTATGATAGCTAGCGCCAAGGTCAACGGCGAACGCCAGCGCCAACGCCAACGTAAAGTTTATAAATCAGCCTTAAGCATTATCTGCAGCAGTTTAAAAATCTAAACTGTTATTTTGGGTGTGTTTGGCGAGATTTACCGACGAGGCGACGAGCCACAAAACCGCGGTTTCGCCTGTCGATCAGAGCCTTCGTGGAGAGTATGAAGTTATGAAGCAGTTATTCTGAAAATGGTGTAACAGTGTGAAGCAGCTTCTGTGAAATAACAGTTGAAAAATAACTGCTACTGCTTTCGCAACCCATCCTTATAACCTATAAAATTAAAATATACTCATAACAAAACAATCTCCCTAATGTGTGCATACCCTATAGTGCCCTATATTTATAATCCAATTAATGAAAAATGTGTGTTAATTTAATAAACAGAAATGATTCAAAAGTAATACATAAGAAGGGTCATGTTTTTAAGTAAAGAATGTTTTTTACCATTATACACAATTTGTGTAACATTTTTTGGGTTTTTACTTTACCTTTCATATCACACAGACATCTTGTGTTTAAGTTGTGATGAAACAGATAATTCAAACATCGTTTTCGATTATATCGTAGGTAAAATTCTTGTTGTTGTGTAAATATTCAACAGACAATTAATACTTTCCTTTTAAGTTGGTTGTGGATCTGCTGGAGCTATTGCAGCAAGAAGACTGGCAGAAAATAAGAAGATATCAGTTCTAGTTCTGGAAGCTGGAAAACATGGAAATTTTGTGCTCGATGTACCTGTATTTGGTTTATTATTACAACAGTCTGCCTATGATTGGCAATACCAAAGCGTTCCCCAGATAAATAGCTGCTTTGGATTACAAAATAATGTAAGTTCTGTTATTTGTTTGTTCTATAGGAAAATTTTATTACAATAGACAATAATTGCAGAAGAAAGAACTAAGTACGGACAGTTGCATTACCAATAGTTTGTTGGACTTACACCTAATCTAATTACAATTTATTTTCATTTGTTACATATGAGCAAAATATGAGTCTAAATAAATTAGTAATCTATGTGTAGGGGTTCTACAGCTTTTGCCACATCAGTTGCTGCTAGGGATAAATGGAATGGGTACCTAACACCAAGAACAAGGTCCCATCTTCTATTCATAATTTGTTTATTATAGCAAAAATTAACTGACAAATTTTGGCTGCTCTAACTTTTCACCATCACCACCAAGTGCTTATATCCTGGTCAAGTTGACATATCAATTCAGATTGCTAGTATTCCCTGACTTTTTAATGTACCTGTAGATAGCCTAATTAACAAATCACGTAACTCCGAAAAAATCGAATTTTTCGATTTTAATATTACAATGATCTATGGTAGCTCTATATTGCTGCCTAAGTACTAAACTCCCAAAAAATTTAACTAATTCTAGAAATGGAAAAAACAAAACACCTATGTTTTTTGGTAAGAAATTTGTTAATGCAAACCTGGTACTCCTGGATGTGGCAGATTGTTTGAATCTATTCTGTCTATTCTGTCTCCGGCTTCTATATAACATGTAGCTTCTCCATTTTTAAAAATTTTAAAGTGTTTGTTTGTCTTTGTGTATTGTATTGTTATGTCCAAATTTACATGTATGACATTCTGCTCATGTCGAATAGGCCACAACTGACGAAATGCCCCTGAGGATGATCTATTGATCGAAAGTACTTGGGCAAGATTTAATTAATTACTGTGTTCGATATTTGCCTTGTATACCATCAAAGTTCAATTATTCGAACATTCAACCTTGTATTGATTGGTTAAAATTAATTAACGTCCTAATTGAAAGTTTGCAAACCATGTATGTGTTAAAGTAATACCAAGTAACTCCATAACTAAATCTAGAAAAACTCATAACTCCAATAAAGAATTATCTTTAGGTTTATTTATACAAAAAACGATCCTACTGATATTAGAATTATATTTATTGTGTTTTTAAAATACTATATAAAGTCAGTAAGGTCTACTATTTTAAAGTTATTTAGTTTTTTGTTGCTCCTGTAAAAACAGGATAATGTGACGAGTTACGTGGTTTATTAATTAGGACGTCACTATATTATTTTAGATTTTTTTATTCATGGGTAGAAATGTTTCAAAACCTCGTGGACCTCGTAAATACGCATGTCCGAAAAAAATAAATGAAACAAAAAAACATGCACCATTTTAATTTCATATGAATTTAGGAGACAACGTAGGATTTGCAGGTGCTAATGATATTGAGTATTTCCAATTAACATGACATATTATGTTTCTCTAATCTTAAACATTCATATAGTCATCGCATTTTTATTTTATCTCACGTTGAAAGATGTAATAAAAATTTACGACTTCCTGTCTTCACTGCCGATAAGAATTGCTGTGTAAAAATGTATAATATTTACATTGCACTAATTTGGCTTATAAATAGACCTTTTAAGAACTGAAGAAAATGTAGAGGACAAATAAATAATTAGAAAGTCAGTGTATGATAGAAAAATAGTATTTTGGTTTTAAATTCAGCAAAATATGTTTATAAGAGACGAAAACCTCGAAATCCTTGGGAAAAATAATCCAAAGAGATTTTTTGCATAATCGCTTTTATAAAATACCGCAAAATAATGTTCAAGAGGTCGCTCATACAAAAAGTGGTCCTATTTTATTAAACAGTTTTGTATAAATCCATTTTTAGATTGTGATAAGGGCCTCAAACAACTAAAAACAATGTATAAAATCAAATAAGCCCAAATCTGAAACTGACAAAGTTATTATTAATTCATTAATTTGTCATAAGTGTACAAAACATAATATTTATTTGCAAAAAAATAACATAATATAACTTATATTTTTAGGATCTTACTGTAAAACGTAAAAAATTACTTGAAACGTACTGAACATAAATAGTACCCCACTATAAAATATTAAAACCGATTATTCACAAAAAAAACAAAAATAAAAATATTAAAGCTATTATGAGCTATTATGAATTATCTTTAGTTTCATTCATGTTTTGAATGTTTTAGGTAAGTATGTGGCCAATGGGTAAAATTATGGGAGGAACAGGGATGCTTAACAACATGATTTATGTTAGAGGATATTCTGAAGATTTTAATGATTGGTTCAAAGATAAAGAAGGATATACATTTTCCAAAGATATTTTACCTTACTTTAAGAAATTAGAAGAGTGGGACTATAAAGGTGGAGTAAGAAAATATCAGTCATTACATTCAAAAATGATTATTCCTATATTTTCTATGATTATGTTAGACATGCATAAGTTTACTTTTTTATCCTCATTTGAAGTAGATTATTACTCTTTCATTATTTTTTTATAGTTTTTTGATATATCTGTTTCCTTATTTTATTTTTATTTCATCTTTATGTTCTACTTTTAATTGTTACTAAATATGCAACAGTACCTACCTAAGAAATAAGATACAATTCATGGAAATCTGTTTGGTCATTTCAAGATTATTTAAATAATTCATTGAAGTCTGTGAAGAAATCCTAAGATACCATGACAATCATCTAAAAAGATGAGAAAAACAGACCAAGTAATTATTTCCATTTTTTATAATGAGCCAAAAGATCTTATTAACAATGCACTGTCTATAATCCTTCTACAATTTAATCTTAATATGGGCACAATTTATTCTAATTTGTTCTCTTTTTTATTTATTGTTGCCTTTTTGTTGTTGTTGTTGTTTGTGTTTAAATTGTTGCCTTTTAAAATTTTATTTTAATATTTTTATTTGCTGTAAATATATTACTTATTTTTCACTAACCCATTTTTTGTCTTATAATAGTGTTCCAATTTTGATTTTAGTTTTATTGTTTCTAAATACTTTCTAATCTTCATAATTAGTTTTTTTAGATAATTTTCTATGATTTTCAGGCAAAACTACTGCCTCAACTTATGTCAGTAGTTTAACTTTTACCTCAAAGTTAGCTGATTCAATATTAAAGGCAGCCAAAGAATTAGGTTACCCAGTATTAGATGAGACTGAAAATTGTATGAAAGGTGAGCTACATTAATATAGAATCATAAAAAATAGTACTTGAGTTAAGTATGCATTAAAAATTCCTTTGGTTCCTTTCAAAAACATATTGTCAATATCATTGGATATAACTGAATTTTTGAAGGAATGTATTATATGGCTTCTTTTAGATGTTCTGTGTGTTTTTCCATTTTTGTATGTGTTTTTATATTTTAGTTAGAGTATTTTTATAAAAAACTTGATATTGTTATTATATTTCCCCATATCTTTAGTGTCTATTTATAAAACTGATTTCAATAACAGCAATAAAATTAAACAAATCCTTGTAACTATTCTATTGTGACATTATCATATTAACCCACACTGTCAGGATTGGCTTAACAAAATCCCTAAAATTGATATAATATTTGGTACATATTAATGATCGTGAATTGTTTATTTCATTTGTAGAGAGTTGTAGGATGATAAACTAACGCTTAAAGAGCTGTCTTCCAGTAAATTTTACATAAAGTCATTTGAACATTCAGTTTGTGCAAACAAATTAGTTTAGTATGGTTATAAAATTGTGTTTATTTAAAGTTTGGAGACTGTACACTTGCCATCGAATCCATGTATTTTGTAATACTTATCCTTTGTATATGTCCCTGGAGACCATGATAGGGCAATTTTAGCAGTTGATGAACTGGACCCAAATCGACAAGGAGAAGACCATAATAGTGAGAGAGAGTGAGAGAAATTTATTGTTTTTAAAATGAGTTTACATTTATAAAACACAACATGGTATTTTGACCTCTTTAGATCTCGTCAGAGCGGCATAACCACCTCTCCGGATCGAAACAAAATCTATTCCCGTCTATAAAAATAGTTATAAAATAACTATATACGGACGTAACTACGCCATCTAATTACAAAAAGGGAGATCAAACAATTTCTACCTGGGGAAAAAAAATTTTGACCACCGTGCTTTCTAAAACTTGCAAAGCAAACCGCTTGATAAATAAGTCGACAAGGGAATCTAAGATTGCATTCCACATGTCGTTTATCATGGTCAAAATTCGTAGTGAATTCAATTTCTGGTATTCCAAACGGAGTAAAGAAATAAAATATAAAGACGGTACTAGATTTTTGCTTCAATACAGAGCGGCGGCTACCGCTTATATATATATATATATATATATATATATATATATATATATATATATGTATATATATATATATGTATATATATATATATATATATATATATATATATATATATATATATATATATGTTCGGAAAGATTTCCGCGGTTAGTACAATGAAACTTAGAGCTAAGATTAATATTATTATTATAATATTTAATATTAGTATAATATAATATTACCTCTAAGTTTCATATATATATATATATATATATATATATATATATATATATATATATATATATATATATAAAGTAGTTAGGTATTATTGACTGACACGTTATGTAAACTAAAGTTTTATTTTGAGGATGCAGTCATTTAAGTAGGGCAGGATAAGTAAAACTCTTTGTTCTTAAATCAAGCTTTCGCAAAATTTATTTGCTTCATCAGGATATGCTAAAATATGTTATGGTAAATACAATGAAATTAGAATTAAGAAAAACATTGTATAAAACTATATAAAAACTTACAACATGAGGTTAAACCATTAAATTATTAAATTCACAAAACATTATTAATTTTTCTAAATTATATTTTTATGCAAGTACAATATTTTAATTTTGAATATATTATGACATTGATTAATAATGATGTTTGATATATGTCAGAAAGACACTTGTGTCTGTTTTTATTATTGATAATTAGCTCTAGATTGTTATTATGCTTACGTAAAAAGTGGCGCCAAATATGAATATTTAAATTTTTGAAAATATAGTATTTATAGTCAGAAAATCATATATTAGAAAATTAAAGTATTAATTTCAGCAATATCTATAATTACATTCTATCTTACGAAAATTAAGAATTAAGAATAATTAATAATAAAATTATATATATATATATATATATATATATATATATATATATATATATATATATATATATATATATATATCAATTCAATTAGCGCAACTATCCTCAAAAAATTCCTCTATACTATAGTAACATTTAGATAATAAAAACTTCTTGATTGCTTTTTGGAATACAAAAATATTGCTTGTGGATCTTATATGAGTGGTAGGTGATTCAAAACTTTCTTACCAGTGTAAATAAATGATTTTTTAAATTAATGTAGAAGAGGGAATTGGAAGTGGAATTACATAATTTAGACGAGTGTTATAAGGGGAAACTGTCCGAATATTCTCTTTATGTTTTTTAAGTGTCAAGAGAACAGCTACCCCAAAAGGCAATACCATATCCCAAATTAGATTCAATCAGGGCCACATAAACACTTTTTGCAATCTTGAAATCGAAATGGTGAGCAATTGATTTGACCGCAAAGCAACCTGATATCTTTTTGCCTAAACATACAGTGTGTTGCTCAAATTTTATCAATATAGAGACCTAAAAATTTGTTTAGGGTGTCAGAACAAATGCCTTCATGGCCCAGAGTAATGTTGTTTAGATAATTCTTAAAAGAAATTAATTTGGTTTTTGAAAAATTAAATGTCAAATAATTAGCTTTGCACCACTCCAAGCTTTTTAGCATATCACTACTAATAATCATGTTCAGTACCTTAGAGTCCTTGTTTTGTCATAAAATTGTGGTATCATCTGCAAATATAGTAAACCGGCCATTAATGTCGGGGTTAGTTATATCGTTAAAATATATAAAAAAATAGGGCCCAAGACAGAGCCTTGGGGTACTCCACAATTAATAAAGATATAACTAGAGAAGCGCTCATTGATGTATACAGAATGGCATCTGTCTTCCAAGTATGAACTGAACCACTTTAGAGCAGTGCCTCTAAAACCATATCTTTCCAGTTTATTAGGAAGTATTTTGTGATTAACACAGTCAAAGGCTGTAGATAGATCACAGAAACCTGCGGCAGCAACATAATCGTTATTTAAGTCCAAGTATAGTTTTTCCATGAATTCGAAGATGGCATCATATGTACTTTTTAATGACTGGAAACCGAATTGGAAGAAAGTAAATTGTTTTTTTGTAAGAAAGTCATCATTCGGATTTTTACCAATTTTTCTACAACCTTTGAGAGCGATGGTAACAAAGAGATAGGACGATAATTAGCAGGTAAATCGTGGTTGAAAATCCTACCCCATCTGGCTGTATAAGGTGGATTCTTAAGGGGAAATTCACATAAAATGGGATCATGATCTCGTGAAAAATAGGAAATCACTCTGCACACAGCTAGATCTGGATATAGATTAGTACAAATTTAATCCAATATGCTGTTATCTCTGGTTGGATCGGTAACCAGCATTCTCATATTAAAACTATCAAGTAAATTTGTAATGGTAATAACAAGGCTGTGTGATGAATCCAGATAATCAATATTAAAGTCACCTGTCAAGATAATAAAGCATTTTGTGGAATTTTTTCAAGCAAGGATTCCAATATTTGAAAGAATAACTTAGGGGGTCTATACACAACAATGAGAAAAGTATTAAGTTTCTTAGTGAAAGTAATAGATAGTTCAAATTCACATTCAATGCAGAGGTGGTTAAATTTATTTTAATCAACAAAATTGAATTTATACTGAAACGTTGTATTAAAATTAATGTGCCTCCATGGATGCTTTCAGATCTGCAAAATTTAGATATTATGGAGTAATTGTTAATGCAAAGTGTTTCCAGAGGATACAACAAATGCTCAGTTAAAAGCACAAGATCTGACCAATCATTTTCACTAAGAAATACTTAAAGTTCCTCAACTTTATTGCGTACAGAACATATGTTGTATAAAATAATCGAAAATTTATTAACGATATTAGATTTACATATACTGGTATCCAGTTTATCACGTACACTTACACTTATACTACACCACACTTACAATATTATGTGTTATTTTTGTGCCCTGTATTGTCAAAGATTCTATTTGATCCTGGTTGGGAGATATTAATTTCTTTCTTATCTGAGAAGGCCTTCAAAAATCCTTATTGTTACGTTGGTAGTTGTGGAATTTTTTGAAGTTGAAACGTTTAAAACCGATTCCTTTGGGCCACGTAGATTGTTTGTAGATTTGATCTTTGTATTTTTCGCTAATCCCAAACACAAAATATTACGGTTTTCCTCAGTCGGTAATTACTTTACAATAACATCCGCGTCGGAGAAATGTTCTTGATTTTTGACGAACTCTTGTATATTTTCAGATGATACTTGCCGCTTAATTCTATAACGGTATCACCAAACTTTACGCTCAGCACACAAAATCACGAGACTCCTCATATTGTCCAATATTCTTCTTTATAATTCTGTTACTTTTTGAATTTAGAATCCTGTCCCATAGGCAAAGTGAGATCAATTATTTCATCCATTTTATTATTTTGATATTCGCTTTCCACCTGTAGGTTAGGTGTGTTTGTTAACAAGTTATTTATTTTGTACACAAAATTGTCGACATCTGATTGAATTGGTTGTTTATATTTATTTTCAATGTTTTTATTTTGTGGGTCATTAAGCTTAATTGGTATTTTATTTTTATCTTTGGTGTGATAGTTTTTTAACTCCTTTAGTTAAGTCTTCAATAAATCGACTTTTTCTTGCAGTAAATAGTTATTAGATTTTAAAAGTTCATTATTATTTAACAGTAATTTATACTTATCTTCTTTTTCTCCAATAAGTGCTTTAGCATTTTATTTTCTAACTGCAATATATTCATGGGTTCAGTAACATCGGATTGTTTTTCACAACACATCATACGCGTGTCACATATTTTAGAACATTTTATCTTGCTTAAGGCTAATAACAAAGCCTTACATAAAACAGCGGCTTTGACTAAAAAGCCAGTGGACACAGTTAGAAAAATTGTAAGTGTTTCTATTATACCAAGATTAACAATGTATTTCTCGAAAATTAGATAATATGACACTGAAATTAATTGTGGTAGAACAACTGTTTGAAAGTGTTTTCAATACATAGGGTTTAGATACCAAAAATTAGATAGAAGATAGGTACTTATGGAATCCTATTGTTTACGGATGTGGCGAACGAAATATTTAAACAAAATTAAACAGTATCATTTAGTATCAGAGGAAAGTTTTCAACCAGTGCATTTTTATTATCATGACATGTGGATGTCAAACCTGGACTACCAACTAAAGCAAATATGGGCATATGACTTTCAGATAGAAAGAGGAACGACTAGGTAAGATCAAAAACAAAAGTCGAGGATATCACAACAAAAGTTGTCAAACTCAAATGAAGCTTCGCAGGCCGATCTGCTAGACAAAAAGACCAGCATTTGAACATCACAATGTACAATCGCAGACTTTACAAATGTAGACCACTGATGAGATGACATCAAAAAAATAGCTGAAACAAACTGGAAGTATGTTGCTTAGGATAGGGATCGATGTGAGGAGTTGGGAGAAGCCTATGTCCAAAAATAGACGATAGAAAGCTAAAAAGAAACAGTTTCATCGAGAGAACAGGTTTTTTTTATCTATTTAAATGAAATGTGGTTATATAATCACCATACGCCATTTAAAGTTTGGGTAGATAATAGTCAATAGTCAATATGAAAACAAACTAATATATATTCTAAAAAATGAGGTAAGGAATTACAAATTGTACTATTAATACCTCTTTCTGTGTCATTAAAACATTAATACTTATATAAGTCAGTGATATCATCTGATTTTTTTGAAGCTATATATTTGGTAGTTCAATTGTTTTGGTATCAGCTACTTAGTCGGCAGATTATTTTTTGCAGCTTCTTTTGACGCAGTTATTTTGCCGCCGGCTATTTTGATAAGGTACCATTCGTAGGAAAGAATCTCGGTATCTAATTTAATAAAGGTGCTATAGTTTCTACGATGTCAGTTGGACAAGTATAAAAACAAAATTCGACACTCAAGTGTCGGCGTCTTTGTAACACATAGGCGGCGCAATAGAAATTAAATAATAAACTTTTATTTTTAAATTAAGGTCTAATATTTTGTTAAACAGTAATAATATTGTTAATTATTCACATTTCTTTATGAACTTGACACCAAAGATGATTAAAAGTAATGAAAAATAGATTCTTACCTATTCGTCAAATTCCATATCGAACAATTCAACGTGAAATAATCAAAAAAATATTTTTTTACTTTTTTTTAATTGTTTAAAGAAATCTTTATTTTTGATTTTTAAAAAAGTTTCTAGCATCAAATGTAATCAAGTTACGCTCAAAACAAAGTTGATCCCTTTTTTTGGTAAAAAATAATCATGAATATGATCTGTAAGTTTCATCGGTTTAAAGGGCTTATTTTTGAAAGATACTTACATGAAATCGGCCAATTCGTCTTCCAGTCGAATTGTTTCTTAGGTTATAGATTAATCGAGAGATCACTTTACTTCGATACACAGAACATATTTTTGACAAGTTGTGGAAGTCTTTGTAGAAATATTCAAACAATTAAACACTATCACTATCCGTGTGTAGAGAACTTGAGTCGTCGTTTGTGTTTATAACTACCGGTTCAATTGGTGGTAAAGTAGGATATTCTTTTTCTTTTACTTGAACATGCGCTACATAATTTTTCAGTTGTCAGTCATACAAATGTCAGTTTTGTTAAGTTCTTCTATCACTGTTCTTATATTTTGGACAACAACGTCACTTAATTGGGGAGATTGATTCATTTTCCGCAATTTCTTTTTTACATCGGCCCATATCATTTCAATTGGGTTGAAAACACAATGATATGGAGGGAGCCGTAAAACCGTATGCCCGTGGCGTTCAAAGAGTTTATCTATTACATATTCATTTTGAAAATTTTGTTGCTTAATTAATTGCAACAATTCCTTTTTGGTACATTTACTAGGTGTTGCCATGCCTTTGTTCTCCATAAATTCTATGATATCTCCCTTCTTGGAGCTAGTATTTGGAATTTTGGTGTAGAGTCTAGAATGGTATGACGCATTGTCCATTACTATCACGGAATTTGTTTTAATATTCGGTAACAGCTGTTCTGTTGCCCATTTTTCGAGAAGTTCAGCCGTCATATCCTCATGATAATCAGCTGATGACTGTTTAATGTTTTTGGCCGATAATAACAAGGCATTAGGTACAAACCCGCTCTTAGTTCCAGCATGTAGAATTTATTTTACGTAAATAATGTTGCCTCTGTATCACAATCCTTGTTGATTCCATAATTACCATTCTCTTGTCTAATTTTTTATAACTAAATCCGCATTCTATTAAAACACGCCTCAATGTATCAAGGGATATTTATATGCATAATCGGGATATATTTTCAACTTGTCCTGAAGCATTTCCAACGTTGGAACTTTGTTGTCCTGATAAAATTCGTACACATAGCGACAAATAACGTCTTTAGTGGCCTTATCAATCTTTTTAAGGTTTTGTCCAACTCTTCGACGTTTAACAGAATGATCACTTACATCCCCTGCAATAACACGTAAAACTGTCGTACGCGCAAGTTTGGTAAGTTCACATATCCTTAACACAACATTATTTTCCGAAAGTGTACTATTTTCGCCTCTTAAACAGGAATATATATTTAGAATAATCCTTTACGCTTGAATATGTAAGTCCTTATTTACAAATTCCCAATTCATTGGTGTTGGATCTAAAAGAAATATTTTTACTTTTAATTGTTAAAAAAAGTAGATTAAGGGTGAATATTATGACCGAGCATCCCTATACAACTAATTATTAAACTAGTTTTAAATAAGAATTTACATACCTAAATCGTCCGTTGGATGGCCGTTAGTATTCTCGTTAGTATCACATTCAAATGGTCGCCAAAAAGCCATCTTTAATGTATTTACAACTTATTTTCTACTGTCTTATCTCAAACTCAACTAAAACACAACACTACTGTTTGCACAAAACTATTAAAAATATACGTGAACTTGCTGTCGTACACGACGATACTGAATATATCGTTTAGTATGAGAAACCTGAGAAGGCATTTTTGACCAGATAACGATCAAGTTTGAGCGTAATAACATCCGAAGAATATGACTAATTACACTTCAGTAGTGCCCGATAAGATACGTAGAAAGTAATAAACCACAGCTGCAATGTGGACAATACCGTTAGTGATTAATTACAAATAATGTTTATATTTCTGAATTATTCGGGACTGGACCCTAAAAATTCCTTAACTTTTATTGAAATTTAAAATTGATGATTAAAAGTATATACATACATAATGCAAATGAAATGTAATGTGCTTATTAATTTGAGAACTAAAAAATGAGACTACAATTTTACTATAAAAATAAAATAATTTATATAATAAGTTTAAAATAAAATAAAATAAGTTTATCACTACGGCACTGTTATTGTGTGTATTATAATGCTTGCCGCCTTTGAAACATGAGAAGCAATTTTTACCTGATAACGGCAAAGCCATATTTGGTTTCAGTGTATGCACTTCCGAAAAATTTGACCAATTACATTTCAGTATTACCCAATAAGATACGTTCAAAGTAATAAGCCACACCAATATCCATGTGGACTAATACCAGGAGTAATCAATAATTAGAATTACAAAGAATTATCTTTATTTCTATGTTCGCCGTAGAATTACTGACCGGATCCCAAAAATTGTTCTTTCCCAATTCATATCGTAACAACTTTACCAGATACTAATGTTCTGTATTTATCCTTTTCAGGTTTTGGTGTACCAAAGATAAATGTAAAGAATGGCAAAAGATGGACCCCAGCACACACTTTATTAGAACAAAAAATGCCAAATATTATTCTGAGAACTAATAGAGTTGTTCAAAAAATCTTACTTCATGACAATTTTGAAGCTTATGGTGTCAAGTACACTTATAAAGGTCAAGAGTACATAGCTAAAGCAACCAAAGGAGTGATTCTTTCAGCGGGTAAGTTAAATAGGTACACTGTAAAACAAATATACAAATAAAAATATACAAATTTATACACAGACGGTCGGCGAACGTCACTGCTTGTTTCCCATAAGTCGTGGAAGCTACAAGAGGTGCCACCTATTCTGGTGACGATGAAGGAACCACGATTTAACAAAATCTTTCCCGGATCTCTGATGAAGCAGGGAATATGCGGCAAAGATCCTAATAATACCGATTCATACACATAATGTTTGACGAATTGTACTATTGCGCCATATATATGGCCTTTCAATTCATAGCGATTTCAATTTATCAAGCTTTTGCTGAAATGTAAACTTTACATTCTTCGAATAGCTCAAAAGGATCGAAACCGATTTGTTAAGTCGTGTTTCGTTCATCGTCACCACAATAGGTGGCATCTATTGTAGCTTCCATGACTTATAAGAAACAAGCAGCGTCGATGGTGACGTGGTTTGGGTGGAGATTGGTGTGGGGGTTAGCGTGGGGCTATGCGCGGGGGTTGGCGCAAACATTTCTCACAGTAGGGTTTTGATTGACGGGTGGAGCCGACAATATTTTTTTTTATAAGAGGTCTCCAAGTCGAAGACAACCGTATGCTGTTATCTCTTTTGTTGAGATAATTCGGCCTTTTTTTTTCAATTTCTATGGCTTGTGACTTGTATGAAGATGGTGTTGACCTAGATTTGAAATTGAATCGGAATTGCGAACAGAAATGGAATGTTCATAATTTGGATGGAATTATTTTGAATTCTACTGTTTGTTTGGCCTACATAAGATCGGGGGCAGTCGCACAACGAATTTAATAAACTCATTGGAAAAGAGATGAAAGTTTTTGTTGAGGGGTAAATACTGTCTTTATTTCTTTTGATTTAAGGATTTTGTCGATTTTTTCAGTGACACCTTTGATGTAAGGAAGAAAAGCTGGTATTTTACTCAACATATACATTACACAAAAATGATTGTCCCGCTAAAGCCTTAGTAGTCAATGCGATCAGTGCTATACTGTAACATCTCAAAATTTGTATGTTTTGAGATAAGAATAAATTACTATGAATGAATGATGGTTCTTTTCAGATCAATACTGTGCTATCTTAAAATATATTTTTTTCAATTTATAATTACATCATATGTTACTATGGTTCTGTGCTTAAAGACCGTATATTACAGAGCAATAGAATAATAACTAAAAATGTTACGGTGTTGCTCCAGAACAGTTGTATAGTACTCAGAGCAATACAATAATATAATGAAGAGGAAAACAGTTACTGTCACTCCTTACAGCTAATACACAGGTAAGAGTTGACAGCTTACTTTATAGGTTAACCTCAAATAGATACGTTTTTAAATCGTTTATAATGTTCATAACTACTACAGACCTATTCTAGAATAAAAACCTGCTGATAATAATTAAAAAAAAAAAAACAAGTTCACCTTATGGTTACAAGTTTGTTTTTACAGGGTGTTATTCTTTTTCAGATAACGCCTGGCTCAGTTTTTGAGAATATTGTTCCAAATCAAGTTTCATTTGACACTACTGAAGAGCCAAATTATATCTTACGTGAACACAATGGGAATAGGGCTCCTGCTAGCGAAAAAAACTCTCCTGTGACCGGTAACAATCAGATTTTATTCGAATATAATATTCCAAATAGTGACAATCTAATATCACCAGCTAGTAATGAACTTCAGCCTAATGTTCAATTAGGTTATGATGAAAATGTCATTCTACCAATCGAAAATTCCACTTTAGCACTTCATAAGTTAGGTGATAGAGAAAAACTTACTTTCCATTTGGAAAATAGACCTGATGGTGTTTCAGAAAAAGACATTGTAGAAGCGGATTTTGTGTATACGTTGATAGAAGAAGCAATGCCTCCGATTATAGAGAGCGATAGTGATAGACATAAAATAATAACTAACAGTGACAACAGCCCTTACGATTTGATAAATCCGATGGTCATTAATGAAGACCAAAACTCTCTAGATCGTAATGGAGAAGACCCAAAGAAGACAAGGATTATGTACCGAATTTCAGCTTGTTGAACTCAGACTCACAATCAGAAAGCAGTTTTGCACCTAATGAAGATTAGCCTAATCCTGAAAGGAAAGAAAATAAATGAACAAACGTTTAATAAGCCTATTGAAGAAGTTTCTGAGGAAAGTGGAGAATCTGTGAAAAAAAACTCAAAGAAGAGAGTTAGAAATGAAAGCTTGTGGGCCAAGAACATTAAGAAAATAAAGGCGAGGCTTACAGAACCAAATCAGGAACATTTGTGGATAAGAAAACTTTAAAAACTGGCTGAGGTGATAAATGCAGGTTGAAATGTTCGTTAAAACTAAATTTAGATGTTCGACAAAAATTTTTGAATGCCTTTCTTGGTCTTCATGATGCTAACCGGAAAAGAGATTTTATATCTACTTTTTGTATTAGTGCAACCTATCTTATTACTGTAAAGAAGAAAACTACGTCCTCTGGTATAATACTTGAAGATCAAAGAGGAAAACATCATAACCAACCACGCATAGATCCATTGACAATAAACAGTATTTACGACATCATCAATTCATTTTCGAGAATTGAATTGCACTACTGTCGAGCTGATAATAAAAGAGAGTTCATAGATGGTGACTTAACTCTATCTGAAATGTATAGGTTGTATAAAGCAAATTGCATTGAAACAGGAGTCCCGTTTGCTAAAAAACACAAGTATGAAGAAATATTTAATACAAAATTAATATTGGATTTTTCATTCCGAAGAAAGACCAATGTTCTTTATGTGCCAGTTATAAGAACAGTACAGAGCAAGAAAAACAAAATATAGAAGAGGAAGTAAAAATTCAAAAAAGGAGAAAGATCTATCTCGTGCAGAGAAACAGCAAGACATAAACAATAGTAGGGATCATAACTCATACACAATTGTTGATTGCTTTGATTTTGAAGCTGTATTTCAACTTCCAAAGCGGCAACTATCAACATTTTATTATAAAAGAAAACTAAACACCTGCAATTTTACGGCTTTTGACGCCACATCTAAGCAAGGCCATTGCTATATTTGGCATGAAGTGTGTGCAAAACGTGGAGCTTTAGAAATCGCTTCATTCCTTTTTGATTTTTTAAAAGAAAAAGCTAATGGCAAGTCAGTTATTTTTTATTTTGACAACTGCAGTGGCCAAAATAAAAACCACGTTCTCTTATCAATGTATCTCCATGCAGTCCAAACTTTAGATACTCCTTCAATTACTCATAGACACTTAATTGTAGGTCATACTCAAAACGAGGGGGATAGCATACATTCTTCAATTGAAAGACAGTTAAAAAAAGCCATTAACAAGAGCCCTCTTTATGTTCCTAGCCAACTAGTTGCTGTAGTTCAAATGACAAACAAAGAAAAAAGACAATTTCAGATAAAGGAAATGGACACATCAGATGTATACGACTGGACCTCAATAGAAAATTCTTTTCCGGGTAAAAATTTCCAATACACCATATCAGGTGAGAAAGTAGTATGGGCGAACGTTAAAACATTTCAAGTAAGGAAATCAACCCCATTGATTGTTTTTTATAAGTATTCTTATGAGCAAAAGGAAATGATGTCTTTTAACCTGGATGATAAAATAACAAAAAAGAAACACGGTTCTCTTGTTGTTTTGTCTAGAGGATATTCTTCACTGACTTCTAGAGGTGTCCCAACGAAACCTAGAAAAACAAAAGAACAGCTGCCGTACTCTAGATCATTAGTTGATTTATTAGCCAAAGAGACCTCTCACCAACTCAAACAAACATATCGAGCTCCATCAGTGATTCCTCTTAAGAAAAAGCGGTATTAATAAGTTTATGTGATGCAAGATTAATACCAACGCCTTATCATAACTTTTTCCATGGGTTGAGAACCAAAGACAATGATGATGATAACTAAGTCAGTGTAGTTTATTCTGTTAACGTGTACTGAATACAGCCAAAAAATAAATGTAGTTTTTTTAAGATGGCATTGTCAATAAACATTGTTTATACTCCATTAGGAAATAGTGTTTTACTGAAACTTTCTTAACAACATTTACACAACAATCATTCAATATTTTTATTATATATATTATTTCAGAGCTAAAGTGTAACATCCAAAACTATTTTATAACATTGTAGAGGAAATTTAATTTAATGTCATTTAATTTTCAGAACAAAACAGTAACATCTACAAATAAACGTAACAGTTTTAAAACTTGTTGAAACGTTCAGTTCAATATTGTAATAACTCAAATTCCTTTCATTTAAGCCAATAAATAAAAATGTTTTAAAAGATAATATATTTAGTGCTTGTTAAGATTGTACAAGACTAATTTACCTAAACTAACAACTAACTGAGAAATGAAAATAAACAATAATTTTCGCTTAAGCGTCAATACTAAGGCATGAAAAACTTTAAACCCGTTTTTCTCAAAATGGTTGATTTTGATATAGTACAGTGTTGCATTGAGGCAGCGATTTGTTGTTTAATTTGAAACCATGGCATTAAAAAGTTAGTTACTAGATATCTACGCCATATGTTGGTATATGTGAATTCATGATACTATGAACTAAAGATAAACCCACGCGCACGCGATCAGTCTATCTCTTTTGCACGTGTGACGTCACTTGGCGACAAATGTCACCAGAAATGTTCTGTTTTGCATGTAGTTTTATCAGATTTAGTATTGTTTTATCATTTATCTAGTACGTTGACAAATAAATGTGTGCACTTTTAAATAAAGTATATTTCAGAATAATAAATTAAGATAAACTTTTATCACCAAGTGACATCATGCGCATCGACGTACAAAATTCGATTGCGAAGTGGTTTTATCTTGGAAGTCATAGTATCTTGATGTGAATTGATTAATGATAATATAATAATATATCGGGACAAGCGTCTCTAATTAGTCCAATGGATCTGATGTACTTTACTATTTTTTTACGCCACAATTTTACTTTATAATTAAGTTTATTTGATGTTTCCATT